TTTTTCCGAAAACATTCACAGACCTGCGCTGATGAGGTCCATCCTGCTCAGAACAGCAAAATAACTCCCCCCTCTTTCTCACATAACTTTTAATATAGACACAGATTTTAATCCCGGCTGCTGGAGGCGGCTCACTGCAGCTGTCCAGGATTAAGAATAAACAACCAGACGCCATTTCAGTTTATAGTTATCATTATTAAAATAGAAGAAGCAGGGCTGCTGGTGGATCATCTAGTTACAGGATGGAGGGACAACTACAGTTATTTAATGTAAACATCTGGTAGCGTTTAGCTGATGCTAACCCTCTGATAACTATGGGCTTTCCTGTTACCTGGTCTGGTTGAAGAAGCTCTGGGAGCTTTCTGCATGTTTGGCCTCTGACACTCAATAGACTCAATAAATGCTGCATTAATCCTGCTTTATTTTTTCTTAAAAAAACTAAAAACGAAACACTACAAAATATTAAAAAAATTTGCTCCAGTTCAGACATACGATTGAGTATTAGGGCCAAGCTAGAGATTCTTTTTATTTTTATTATTATTTCGAGAATAAAGTCATACTATTATGAGGAAATATTTGTAACATTAGAAGAATAAGTTGCAAAATTACCAGAATGATTCTCTTATTTTCTCCTATCAGGTTGATGTATGATGACTTCATTCTGGCAGAATAAAGTCATCATACAACAAACCTGTTACAGAAAAAAAGCTTGGGGCTCCGCCCACCAGATGACATCAGACCAGCTCCACCAATCAGCAACCAGAGTCCACTTTGACATCCTGCCCAGTTTGATGCTGCTGCTAAAAGATTTCCTGATTTGTTAAACCGATGCTAAAGTAGAACTTCCCATGATGCTCCACCAGTGGCGGTTCTAGACCAAATGTACCAGGGGGCCAGGAGGGGGCTAGGGTGTTTTCATGGGGGCACAGAAAAGCATGAAATAAAAAACATGGCAAGGGATTCAAATGTGTGAAGAGAGCTGCATGAAGAGAAATTTCCATTCAATGAGGTTGAATTAAAATTATATTTCTTATAAGATCAATATACATTCATAATATAGGAATTTTACATATTTTTACACTTAGTGGGTAAAAAATAGAACTCAAGAAAAACTGATACAAACGTAAAAATTTGAGTATTTTTTAAAAATTGTTCTGAAAAAAAACATTTAGCGCATGAAAACTGGGATCCTATCTCAATACGACTGAAGCCATCACCTTATTGTTTTTAAACAATTAGAAAAACATCATTTATAAAGAAAAAAATGAAATAGATCCAAACGCACCCAGCTGGGCGGCATCATTAATGATGATATTCCCCTCCGACATTGAAGGAGAATAACTAAGAAGTTGTATCCAGCAGATAGCTCTCTTATTTTAATAATCTATCGTTAATTTGAACGATTCAGGTAACAAACCTTTGTGAAAAAAACGAGAGGAGGGAAAAACTGGGTCCCAGTATCAGACGCCTTCTCTCTCTCTCTCTCTCTCTCTCCTCTTTCTCCTTCCTTTCCTTCGTTTTTCAAACCCAGACTTTGGGGCGCTGCGTTTTTACCCCACTGCTGCTTATTTATTTATTTTCTTGTTAATTTGATTATTTCGTTTTCTACGTCTAATGACGCACTCATGGCATTTAAGCCCCGGTACGAGCAAACTGCCGGTGAAACCTGATGCGATGCAGGACCGGAGGACCAAAACCATTTATTCTGATTTCAGGGGAGTAAATTCATGCTTTGTTTCACTGCTTACTGCTGAAAAACGAGGGAGAACATGAAGTCTTAGTCAAGGCTCTAAGAATTGTTCTAACTTATACGCCCTGAGTCAATCAGAGAGATGTGAGACAGTTTTCATGTCAAAGGAAGAAATAATGCAGAACATTAAAGTCTCGAGTTTTATAGGTAGATGTTTGGTATGAAAGACTCAAAGAAATGAGGTCATTTTTTTTATGCACCAACATGTGGCTGCAGTTATTTGGCAAATGATGCTAAAGTTCATGGAAGCGCCTTCAGCAGCAGAAATCTCATGCCTGCTTCCTTCTCTGACCTTTTCAGCTTCACACCATCTAGGATCAACTCTTGTTCATCCCAAAGAAGTTCAAAATCAATCCACTGGACTTTGTTTCCAAGTCTGAAGACGTTTCTCTTCCATCCAGGAAGCTTTTTCAGTTAAAAACGTCAGAAATAGTGTTGAGTTCCAGGTTTTATAGAGTGGACCAAAGCAAAGCCTTGTTTTGGCTTAGAAATGTGGCAACTCTTGTTCATCATTAGAACTTTACAGACATCATTTTCTGCACAGCTATAGAGACTATAGTGTTAGACGGCACAGTGTTGGCCTAACAGACTGGGTGTGTAATGGGGACCAGGAGTCCCATTACCCCATGACATATAATGGTTGATTTGTGTTATATAGAATTAAGTTTGAACAAATAGTTGGGTTGTTTGAGTTCCTTATTGTTGTTTTGTGAAGCAGAGGGACTGGCCATCCTACCCGTGGAAAGAAAGTGTAAACAGTAGTGATGTTATGAGATGAGCCGAGGCTTGGAGGCGTGTGTCGAGTACTGAAGGGGGCGTTTCCCCAAAGCGAACGTTGGGGCGTGATTCATTTAGGGGAGGGGCCGCAATAGATGGCGTCAGAAGCCTCTCTGCTGTGATACCAGGTGACCTCCTCAGGAAGTGGTTCAGAAAGCGCAAAAACTTCAGCAGGCATTTAAAGTCGTAGGGAAATCATATTTAAAATATTTAAATGTTAAATCATTCTGGCTTAAACCTGCATGTAAATTTATTAAAGTGGCAAAAAAACTGTGTGTAAATTATTTTTCTCTTCTAAGACATTTTACACTAAAAAAAACTTTTATTTTATTTTGTTATACACACCAATCATTAACAATTTCAAAGGAACTTAAACGGAAAAAACAAAATAATTGCAAAAAAATCCCAGATTCTATTACTAACTGTAGTTCTGCACTCCACCAGTAGGTGGTGACATGTTCACATGACGCTGTGAGGGATCATTTGGCAGAACGTTCAATGAGGCTTCATCTCAGCATCAGTTGTAAACATAAATGTCAATTATTCTTCCTTAGTTTGTGTTTATGTTAAATCAAAGAACCTTATTTTCCTGGTTTGGCTCCTCAGCAGGAAGGAGAAGGCCAGAAGTCCTCCAGGTGCTGTTCAAATGAACTTGGAGCAAACCAAAATAATCAGGAGGGTGGTTCTGGATGAGTTGTGTTAAATTTGATGGGTTTTTTTTTTTATTGACTTTAGATTTGTTTAATTATATTGATTTGTATGCATGGAAAATATTATTTTGGGTGCATAGTTTATTGTTTTGGTTTAGTTTTGAATGTATGTTAACTTTGCTTCTTTTTCTTAATATTCCGTTTTCATGGTTCCTTCCTTCAGACAGTTAAAGTCGTAGGAAAATCATATTTAAATGTCAAATCATTCTGGCTTAAACATAAATATAAATGTTCTCTTTATCAGACCATATTGTCCAAAAAGTTAGAAAACTTCTATAAAAAAAAAAAAATCCTGTCTTAAAATCTGTGTTTTTTCCGTTATCTTCTGCAGGCCAGTTAGTTCTACGTCAGCCTGAACACCTAAATTCGGCCAATCATATATCAACGGTCATCTGTCAATCAAATGTTTCCGGTCATAGCATCTTGATTCATATGTCGCAGCTAATATACGCAACGGTTGAAACCAGAATCCTTTCCTTTCCCATTGAGTTGCGTCCCAGTGTTCACGGGGATGGACGTCTGTGTCTTCGGCAGGCGTAGAGCTAACAGAACTGGCAGCGTTGCGAGGCAAGGGCTCAAACATGTACGGCTGGAAGCCTTCTACACCAAACCAAGCTTCTGCCGCCCTGGCGTCCTCTTCCACAACATCTTCGTCCCCGCTTTCCTCCTCTAAATAAAAAATGGATGACGGAGGAGACTCATCCACGACCTCCGACACTCAACTCTCCTCCTCTTGCATGTTTCCGCTGTCCATAGCGTTCCTTGACAGCGTCATTTCTAAGTCACCAATTTAGTGCTACTTGGTCCCAATGGAATTTCCCATTGGGAACCTGCTAGCACTAACTTGCTAACTGGTTAGCAAGATGCTTCCAATTAATCGACCACAACCAAACTTGCTTGTGAACCTTCCGCCACAACAATCCCGCCCCCTTGATAATCGACCAATCACATTCACTTTATTCACTCGTGTAAAGTCGGGCACCACTGGGAGAATTCGGAAATGCAACGATTGGAACGGCAGCTTCACTACTACTTTAAGCAAATGACAAGTTCAAGTTTTGTTTAATGTTTCCTTGTTTAACTCCTCATCAGTTGGTGGCAGTAATGCTCTTTTAACTAGTTTGCCAACCACCATAAAACCTCACAAGAAGAAGAATATGGTTCCTCCCTGCATGTCGTCTGAATTGCGTTGGGTATAAAATGCCGTTTGTTCTTTTTAGTGTCGGAAGTTGTTGGTTTGCACGAGCTGGAGTTCAATAAAGCCACTAAAACATCAGTTTCGTCTAAATAAATATCGGCCTCCAGCGGTTTAGCTGAGTTGGTGTAAAAAGGGCGTTCATTAACAGGATGAAACATCATGGTCTTTGCGGTAGTTGCATGTTTTTTATGGACGTCGGCCATTTCTGGGGCCTTACTTGCTTTTAATGTAATCAAATAGAAATGTAAAAAATAATCTCTGAGAGTGACATAATAAAGCACTTGTTTAATACATATTACATGACTCCTCAAATCCCCTCGGTGACGCTCATGGCAGGCTGACAGGTGTGCGCTCAGACCATCCATTTTGACATTGCTCTCTAGTTGGCAAAATCAAAATGGTGGCTTAAGTTATTAAAAGTGAGCAGCTTTAATCATTGGCTGCTGAAATTCAAGGTTGGAGAAGCAGCGAGGATTAATGTTGTTTAAAGCACAAAGCCTCATATCCCCCCCGGCCTGCTGTCACTGCCCCCCCTCCCCCGGCTCATCCATCTCATTTCATCATCTGATTCTGTCTTTTGCTCTTTCTCTCTCCATCAGACCAGCTGTCCATCCGCTGTCCTTCGCCGCTGCCTCTTTTTCCGCCTCTTCCTCTCTAGGTTGCGGTGAGATATGAAGCGGCATCATGGGTTTTATGGAATTCTACCTGGAGATCGACCCCGTCACCCTTAACCTCATCATCCTGGTGGCCAGCTATGTCATCCTGCTCCTGGTGTTCCTCATCTCCTGCATCCTGTACGACTGCCGTGGCAAAGACCCCACCAAGGAGTACGCCCCCGACAACACGCCGGCGCCTCAGAGCCAGTCGCCCATACGCCTCGTCGTCATGCAGAATTCGCCGACCTCCGGCCGCTGTGACCCCAACAACACATCGGGACACGTGGAGCCTCCGACGCCGGACCTGAGCCGGGACAGAGCAGAGAGGGAGAGGGAGAAGAGGAGCACTCTGGTCTGAAGATGAAGAGGAGAAGTTTGAGGGAGGAGACCTTCGTTAAGCGGCGCTGCGTCACTCACTGCAGCGTTTTTGTTCTTGAACTCTTAGTTTTTATTTTCAAATTTCCTGGAAGATGCTGCTGATCTGCAGAGGAGGCCACAGATGGTGAGACGTCCAAACTTCTGTTTCAATCTAAATTGATTTTATTATCAGAGAATTCTAGTTGGAAAATGTAAAAGTAAAAAAAAAAAAGAACAAAGAATTTTTCAATCGAATATAAAAATATTCTATTGACTCTGAACCTTAACATGTGAATAACATCAGCTTAACATCCATCCATCCATCAGCTAATCCCTGCTGGGGTAACGAGGGGAGCTGGCGCCTATAGCTGGGCGATTTCTTGCCCTTTCCGGGCGACTTTCAGCCTGATGGTGCATCATGTAGTGTACGGGGGGTAACCAGGGGCGATCAGCCTCTAACGACCACCCCCCCATCAGGAATCGTAACGTCAAAAATCCAACATGTTGGAAATTCAGTCGGTCGTTTAAGTAAATCGCTCAGCGGGCAAACAAGGATTCTTCTTCTTCCTCTCAGTGGAAAACCCAGAAGTGAAATGGAGTTCTCTCTGTGAAACTGACAGACCGTAGTAGCCATGTTTGCTCAGCCATGTCTTTGTCCAAATACGTCGTCTCCTTTTCTAGTGAGCTTTATATTCCTCTTCTACTGGTTGGGCTTCCAGATAGACGAGTCCGAGTAGCGCCATCTCCCTGCGGAGCCGAGTCCCACCTGGTTTTTAGACGTACAGTGTGAGCAGGTAGATCGCATCAGAGCGTCGGGACGCACAGCGTGAGAACAAACATGGTGAGCTGGGAACTCACACTGCAGGACAAAACTCTGCAGTTTTGTCCTGCAGTGTGAGCTGTAGCTGCATGCAACTATTGAAAAAATAAATTAAAAATAATCACACAGTGTTCGCCTGGCTTATCTGCAGCTGAGAGTGGGTGAGAGGCGGGGCCAACCCTGGACAGGTCGCCAGTCCATCGCAGGGCCAAACAGGACAAACAACCTTTCACACTCACACCTAAGGAGAACTAGATGAATGAACCTAACAGGGTTTTAGGACTGTGGGAGGAAGCCGGAGTACCCGGAGAGAACCCATGCATGCTCAGGGAGAACATGCTAACTCTATGCAGAAAGACCACTGGCGGGAAACCAACCCCGCAACCTTCTTGCTGCAAGGCAGCAGTGCTACCCACTGCACCACTGAGCAGCCATTAGATTAACAATTAAAAGCAATTTGAATATTTCAAAGACTTTAGAATCTCCAAAATAAGAGGAATCATTTTCCTTAGGATTAAAAAAAGCAGGAATTTCTTAAATAATGTGAGCTATGGTGAAATGATGAAGCTTTTTAAGGTGCAAAATGGCAGAAAAGTTCAATTCTGATGGTTTGTCAACTGAGTATTAAGGACCAGTTTGCCCCATGGGCCCTGATGGCCTCCTGATGGGCCCCTGATGGGCCCCTGATGGCCTCCTGATGGCCTCCTGATGGCCTCCTGATGGCCTCCTGATGGGCCCCTGATGGCCTCCTGATGGCCTCCTGATGGCCTCCTGATGGCCTCCTGATGGGCCCCTGATGGCCTCCTGATGGGCCCCTGATGGCCTCCTGATGGGCCCCTGATGGCCTCCTGATGGGCCCCTGATGGCCTCGTGATGGCCTCCTGATGGGCCCCTGATGGCCTCCTGATGGCCTCCTGATGGGCCCCTGATGGCCTCCTGATGGCCCCCTTATGGGCCCCTGATGGCCCCCTGATGGGCCCGTGATGGTCCCCTGATGGGCCTCTGATGGCCTCCTGATGGCCCCCTTATGGGCCCCTGATGGCCCCCTGATGGGCCTCTGATGGCCTCCTGATGGCCTCCTGATGGGCCCCTGATGGCCCCCTGATGGGCCCCTTATGGCCTCCTGATGGCCCCCTTATGGGCCCCTGATGGCCCCCTGATGGGCCCCTGATGGCCTCCTGATGGGCCCGTGATGGCCCCCTGATGGGCCCCTTTTGGCCTCCTGATGGCCCCCTTATGGGCCCCTGATGGCCTCCTGATGGCCCCCTTATGGGCCCCTGATGGCCTCCTGATGGGCCCCTGATGGCCTCCTGATGGCCCCCTTATGGGCCCCTGATGGCCTCCTGATGGGCCCCTGATGGCCTCCTGATGGCCCCCTTATGGGCCCCTGATGGCCCCCTGATGGGCCCCTGATGGCCTCCTGATGGCCTCCTGATGGCCCCCTTATGGGCCCCTGATGGCCCCCTGATGGGCCCGTGATGGCCCCCTGATGGGCCTCTGATAGGCACCCTGATGAGCGCCCTGATTGGCCCCTGATGGGCGCCCTGATGGCCCCCTGATGTGCCCCTGATGGCCCCCTGATTGGCCCCTGATGGGCGCCCTGATGGCCCCCTGATGGGCCCCTGATGGCCCCCTGATTGGCCCCTGATGGGCGCCCTGATGGCCCCCTGATGGGCCCCTGATGGCCCCCTGATGGGCCCCTGATGGCGCCCCTGATGGGCCCCTGATGGCCCCCTGATTGGCCCCTGATGGGCGCCCTGATGGCCCCCTGATGGGCCCCTGATGGCCCCCTGATTGGCCCCTGATGGGCGCCCTGATGGCCCCCTGATGGGCCCCTGATGGCCCCCTGATGGGCCCCTGATGGCGCCCCTGATGGGCCCCTGATGGCCTCCTGATGGCCCCCTTATGGGCCCCTGATGGCCCCCTGATGGGCCCCTTTTGGCCTCCTGATGGCCTCCTGATGCGCCCCTGATGGCCTCCTGATGGGCCCCTTATGGCCTCCTGATGGGCCCCTGATGGCCTCCTGATGGGCCCGTGATGGCCCCCTGATGGGCCCCTTATGGCCCCCTGATGGGCCCCTTATGGCCTCCTGATGGGCCCCTGATGGCCTCCTGATGGGCCCCTGATGGCCTCCTGATGGGCCCCTGATGGCCTCCTGATGGGCCCCTTATGGCCTCCTGATGGGCCCCTGATGGCCCCCTGATGGGCCCCTGATGGGCCCCTTATGGCCCCCTGATGGGCCCCTTATGGCCCCCTGATGGGCCCCTTATGGCCTCCTGATGGGCCCCTGATGGCCTCCTGATGGCCCCCTTATGGGCCCCTGATGGCCTCCTGATGGGCCCCTGATGGCCTCCTGATGGCCCCCTTATGGGCCCCTGATGGCCTCCTGATGGGCCCCTGATGGCCTCCTGATGGCCCCCTTATGGGCCCCTGATGGCCTCCTGATGGGCCCCTGATGGCCTCCTGATGGCCCCCTTATGGGCCCCTGATGGCCCCCTGATGGGCCCCTGATGGCCTCCTGATGGCCCCCTTATGGGCCCCTGATGGCCCCCTGATGGGCCCCGTGATGGCCCCCTGATGGGCCTCTGATAGGCACCCTGATGAGCGCCCGTGATTGGCCCCCTGATGGGCCTCTGATGGCCCCTGATGGCCCCTGATGGCCCCTGATGGGCGCCCTGATGGCCCCTGATGGCCCCTGATGGCCCCCTGATTGCCCCTGATGGCCCCTGATGGCCCCCTGATGGCCCCTGATGGCCCCTGATGGCCCCTGATGGCCCCTGATGGCCCCCTGATTGGCCCCTGATGGGCGCCCTGATGGCCCCCTGATGGGCCCCTGATGGCCCCCTGATTGGCCCCTGATGGGCGCCCTGATGGCCCCCTGATGGGCCCCTGATGGCCCCCTGATGGGCCCCTGATGGGCGCCCTGATGGCCCCCTGATGGGCCCCTGATGGCCCCCTGATGGGCCCCTGATGGCGCCCCTGATGGGCCCCTGATGGGCCCCTGTGTGTTTGGGGATTTATTCTAGTTGATCTCAGGATAAGGGGCCTCTTTCAAATGTCTGAGTTCAGCTTCAGGGGTTGGAAATGATCAACTTAAACCTTTTTCCATGAAAACTCGGCCACTCAGTCCCGGTAAAGGGATTCCTTAAATCTGTCCAACCCTCCTGCATGCAAACATCTGCATGTTTTCTGATCCTTTTGATGCGTGCAGCGATGCAGACGCAGGCTGCCAGCATCCCGTCCCCTCCAGCTCCTATACATACATCAGCAATGATATACAATAAACTTCTGATGCGCTCCAGATCTCAGCAGATCAAACAGATTAAGATTTAAACCTGAATAATTTCAAGATCACCGATTAGTCAGTCATGAAATAAAACTTTAAAGGGTGATTTAAATATGTAGAATTTAGCTTAGGGAGCTGCAAGACAGAAAATCTTTCCTAAAGGAAGTGACCTTACATGCTTCCCTACTGGTGCACCTGCAGCTTCTAGTTGGTTTATTTCTGTGGTTTAGATGAAATATAATATATTTGTAGTGATATAATCTATGAGTTGCAGGTTGAATGCAGTTGAAAAATAATGTTTAGAAAAGAACAGAGATTATTTCATAAGAGAAGCTCTGAGGCCAACATTCATCTAAAATCTGTTTAGTTTTAATGTTAATGGGATTAAAATGAATAATAAACTCTTTAATAAAAGGTTTGAACGAGTCTGCAGTGACGGTTAAAATCTATTTAAGGAGAAGTCTGGTCAGTGAGGAACACTGGAAAAAATCTAAACCTATATAAGTCATTTTTTCTTAAAATAGGAGCATTTGTTCTTGAATTAAGAAGCCAAAAGAGAATTTTGCCAATGGATCAAGACATTGTAGATTTAAAATAAGAAAACACAATTGCATTGTCTTATTTCAAGTGCATATTATCTAATTATCTTATTTTAAGAGTAAAAATACTCATTCCATTGGCAAACTACCTCATTTACCTATTGAAATTAAGGGTAAATACACTTAATTTCAGACATTTTTACTTATTTCTATATCGTTTTTCCAGTGAATGGATCATTATTTATACCTAAAACTAATATGTTTACGGCGATTTAATGAATTTAATCAGTAAAAAAGTGAGAATAATAATTTTTGTTGCGATCACTGAGTCTGGGAGCGGCCATTTTTCACCAAATAAAGTAACGCCTCCCTCCTGCCATCTTCTGGCAATGATGTTACGGTGCGGTAAGCCGCACATTTAAAGTTCTATGGGAAGTTTGTATTCGAAATATGAGTGGACTTTTCCTTTAAGAAGCTCAGATAAGTTGTTAAAACTCCTCTTAGTGACTTTGGGAGTCGTTGGATTTTCTACAGATCGATTAAAGTGTCGTAAGGCAAACCTTACGCTGCATTTCCTGAGAAACACCACTAGAAGGTTTAGTCTGTGGGAATAATTTTCTTTGCTCTCATTGGGACCATGGAAAAAAAAATCAGACCTGCAGGACTAGAGGAGTGATCAGTGCTTCAGACGTTCTCCATCTGTTGTTCCTTATGGCGAACGCAGCGTTGATGTGTTTTACAGCCTGAGGATTCCCCCCCCCAACGCCATCAGTGTTTTTCATCTTCTTTCATCATCATGCAATGAGTCCTTCAGCTCCAACATCTGTCAGCATCTAACCCAGCGAGCAGAGGTCTGTGGGGGTCAGCCCCTCTGTGTGACGTACGTCAAATGGATGAGCGAAGCGCCCCTCCATTCATCATTTCCCCGTCCATGCAGGGTTTATGATGGCAGCTCGCCTCAGCTGATGGAGGCAGCCGGGGATTACAAGCAGCACAAACAAAGGCTTAGACGTCAGGCTCTTCTGATGTGAATCCAACACATCCTTGGTTTCATGCGTTCTTCTAAAGCAATGCCCTTTCTAGAGGCTTGGAGTTTTTAATTTCACATTTACTCATAATGGTGACGTCTGCTTATCCTGTTAACGCTGTATGGAACAGCAGCAGATGTTTGGAACCACCAGCAGGATCCGTCCGGTTTACAGCATCACTATCGGCCCACATGAGCGTTTTTCCTTCTGGGATCAATAAAATATTCTTGAGTTCAATCAGGGGCTGAGAAAGCTCCCGTGATTCTATTTTCATTAGATTAAGCATTGCCTGAAATAGATCTATACCTTCCCTAAGGTTTGACCCTAAATTTACTGGATTCAGAAACAATGTGGATGTTAGGGTTTCTTTTACTGATAACGCTAAATTCATTAAGCTTTGAACCTCATCTTTCTTTTATAGTAACCCTCAAACTGCCTGTAAAAGGAGCAATATCATCCTTTTAATCAGTTGCACATCTTAGAATTTCTGCAGCAATCTGAGAAGATCACCTGCAACACTAAATGCGCATATTTAAAGGAAAAGTCGCTCATATTCAGAATTCAAACTTCTGAAAGTTCTTTAAATCTGAAATGATTCCATCCTGTTCAATAAATGATCAGTGTTTTTAATTCAGAGTAATTTTCATGTGAATGTGCTTTACTGGAGGCATCCATGTTTGTCAAAGAACACTACTGCCACCTACTGGTTAGTGACGTCACGGTGCGGTATCGGCTGTTGATCAAGTCCCAGTGCTGTATCTGGTGTTTGTCACAACGCGCTATTATCCAAGTCATCTTGAAGACATTCTTCTTCCAAATGTTGGCTACATATTACGGGTTTTTTCTCTGGCCAGAAGTTCGATGGCAAATCCTCCCTCTTCAAGTTGGCGATCCAACGACCAACCCGTCCGTGGAGGATCAGGAATCAGAAAGGTGGAATAACTCTTTTTTTCACTTTTACCCGATGTATTCCAGCATCCAGCTGCCATGCACGTGGGCATTGTCAGTTTCACTATAGCTCTGGTGAATTTCAATGGTGAAGTCCTCTGGAAATCTTCAATAATTGTTGTTGATTGCAGATGTGTCTAGTAGTTCCCATTGATTTAGCTTGGAAAGCGGGGAGAATGGCGCTAGGCTTACCGCACCGTGACGTCGCTGCTGGAAGATGGCAGGAGGGAGGGGCTACTAGATTTGGGCAAAAATGGCCGCTCCCAGACTCAGTGATCACTACGAAAATTATAATTTTTATTTTTTTTACTGATTGACGCTAAATTGATTAAATCAAACTTATTATTTTTAGTTACAGATATTTTTAGATTATTCCCTGCTCACCTGACTTTTCTTTAAATGCGTGCGAGAGCGTGAACGAGCCCATTTCTCCTCGTGATCGCTCCGTTTGCAATTTTTTCCTCTATGTCAGACTCACCAGCAGTCAGTGAAAATGGGGACGAGCACGTAGGACGGTCTTACATAAACATCACCAGAATGATTGACAGCTAAGACGACCACTGATTCTGATGATCCACCTGGAATAAAAACAACTTCCTCTACTTTACATTTCACTGTTGATTTGAGTAGCAGCCATCTTGCATCCAGAGTCAGGTTTGGTTATGATGCCCCAATAATGCTGCAGACAGACAGAGATGCTGAATTTATAACGGAAATAATTATTTTAATTTTTTTCAGGCTGTCATCTCCTGCTAATCCCAGCGTTTCGTTGCCAGCAGATGAACTTTCCTCCTGGTTTCCGTCCTCCAGCCACGGCTCTACGTTCTGGCTGCTGCAGCATGGGACTCCTGAGGGCCAGGAGAGATATGGACTGGCAGAACTTCACCAGTATCACCGTTCTCCTCATCATGCTTCCTCTCATTTGGAGGATTTTTAAATCTCAAACTGCTGGATGGTGTCCTGAAGGGGAAACTGACCTGCCTGGATAAACCAATGAAAGGCAGGGGGGGGGGCTAAGGTCATTTACAGAATACTGCAGGAACAGCTTCCTATTGGACACAGAATGACATTTTAGCAATAAAAATGAAACGTTCCAAACAAAATAGTTCATCGTTTGGAAAACTTTCTATCAGACGTAGAGCCAGAGCGTTCCAGACGTTCCAGGAGGAACCGTCCTCTGAACTCAGAGTCTAGAATCATCAGGAACTAAAGTCAAAAATCAAGGAGGGTTTAGCAGATAGTGAAGATGTTTTTGTTACCCTGTGGGGACATTTTCGCTGGAATATGCAGCATTTGGGGGACTTATAGGTACTTGTGGGGTCCAACAACGCGTTGCCATGAGGAGAGGTTCTCTGCCTGGGATGGAGGTTAAGTTTAGGACTGAGGAGTGAACTGAGCTTAGGTCAGAGTTTAGGGTTAGGCATGCGTTGGTAAAGGTTGTATGATACATCATGGGAGGGGGGTGTTGCCCTCCATCAAAGGGGTCCAACAGAAAACATATTGTTAGCGGATTGTTGCTGTAAAGAAACGGTTTATCAGAAATCTCTTTGGTTGCAGCATGAAAAATTTCCCTGGACTAAACTCCTGCCATGCTTTTTCAGTTATTGCTTCACACTTTCCAGATAAAATAAATCAATAAGGGGGGAGAGAACAGAGCAGGATTTTAGGATTGGGGGGAATATTTTGATCACTTTGCATCTTATTAACATTTTCTGGCAGGTTCCGCCTCCCCGTCCCTCTGATCGAACCCAGAGTCCGTGGAGAAGTCGTGCTACAGACGGAGATTCTGGGACAAATCCTCTTACATAAAAAAACACCCAGCTAACGACCAAGCAACCAATGACGGAGTCGCAGCAATAGCAGAACATGAACTGCGCAACCATCCCCCTCCCCTTCATATTTTATGTTTGAGGATTATAAACCAACCAGCACAGAGTATTAGGAGCTCTGCTGTGTTTTTGTCTGTGGCCAGGGGGGGGGGGGGGGGGGGGGGGGGGGGGGGGGTCGGTTACATAAGCTTCGTTGTCAGAGATGTTGTTGCTTTCAGCTGTTAGGCGGAAATTTAGGAAGATTCTAAGGGCCCTCCATTAAGGTGGGGCCCAAAAGAAGAAGAATAGAAAATGTCCCAATAGATATTTCACATAGAAAAATAAAATCCAGCAGTAAAATAAATCATTTTTTGTTCTCCCTCATCTTTCAGCAGTAAACAGGGAAACAAAGCATGAATAAATTCCCCATCCAAGTTTTTAAAGTTGGCGTCTATTTAACTTTTTCTGTTTTCTGATCATTTTACTTTGTGGAAATTTTACAATAAAAAATTAAATTGAAAATGTAAATGATAATCTTCAGTTCATAATAAAAGCATTTCAATCAGAAAAACTCACACAGAGAGAAAAGACAGAAGAAATTCATTGATACAATTACTTGGCGCTCAGACCACGGCAGGAAATATAGTGCTGAATTTTGATAGACATGCATGAACAGGAGTAAAGAACAGGGCTGTTCCCCCCCCGGGCCTGAAACTGCTGGTGGAGTGGAGATAGATGGAGTTGGTCAGTCTGTAGACTGCTGGTTGGAGAGACGGTCTGCTGAGCTTTATGGGGAGATCCAGGTGACTGCGTGAGCTGATACTAGAGCTTCACTCAGGGACCTGGAAGATGGAAGTCCAGCTGGATAACACAGGTTGAGAGAACCTGTCCAAGATGAGCAAGCATGAAGCGACAGTGGAGAGGAAAAACTCTCCGTTGGGAAGAAACCTCTGGCAGAACCGGGCTCAACATGGCGGTCTTCTGCCAGAGTCCAAGAGGAATGACGCTCTGATGAAGCTTTAGCTACGATGGTGGAGGAGGAGCTGGAGGGGGGAGGAAACGGCGTCATTTGGATGAAGTCAGAGGCCTTTAAGATGACCTTTGGATGCTCATGAGCTTTCGTGGAGGCATGGTTCAAAGCTGATTTGCTGATAGGTGGATGAAGGCGAGTTATCAGTTTATTCAGTTGAACTTCCTCCTAGGCTCCATTTTTAAGGAGGGCGGGGCTTATATTAATGTCTCTCATGGGGCCCCTAATCCCTAACCTGACTCCGCCAGATGGATTTGCTCCGCATATCCATCTGGAAACCTTCCGTTGAAGTAATTTTGGGAAGGGGCGAAAATACTGGTTAGCTGATTGGCCTATGTTGGTGATAGACGGGCCAAATAAACCAATCAGATCAATGAAGCATATAACCTACTAACAGAGCGACGACGAAGAGGAGCCAATTGATAGATCAAACTCTTGGTGAAACCAGTCGGGAGAAGAGCAAAAACATCTTTTCCTCTGAGAAAAGCCTCCAGAGCAGTGTTTTGCTCTTCTTTCAGTGAAGAAATACTCTGTAATTCCCATAAAACTTGCTCGATAGCCACGCTAACGCTAGTTTCATCGGCTGAAGCCGCCATGTTCTTTAGACTGAACTCTCGCTTCTCGTTGCGTCACACCTCAACCCGCCTCAAAGCCAACGCTGATTGGACGTTCGTTTGGTGAACGGCTCCAAATTTTCTTCAACGGAGAGTCTCCAGACTGATCTGCGAGTGAAACCTTGAAAGCTCGCGAGATCAGGACGGTTTCACCAGGCTAGCTAATTCCTGGCGGCGCCCCTTGCTTCGATTGGACGGCGGATCTTTGGAGCGATCGGCCCCCTGAACGTTTCCACCAAAGAGGAACGACTTTAAGATGGATGACAAACAGCGATGATCGGATGGGAGATCAGGTCACTGAAAAGTCAAATCTCATTTTAACCATTTAACCGTCTCATTTTTTATATATCAGTTTCTATAAAAACAAGCCCAGGAGTCTGACCTCCTGTTCTAACAGACTCCCAGAGATCTACTCTTTATTATGGTCCCTCCATGAACCCACTGGTCTGACTGGGATAACCAGCGGAACAGCCCAGTTAAAAAGCTCTGTTTTCATCATCCCACCTTTTCAGCTTATTAAGAATAAATTCAGATTATTTCTGTCAACCTTTGATCAGCGGATGATCCATGTGGTTTTGTCCTCATGCTGGAATTCAACAGATGTAATCTAACATGTGAGAAACTATTTAAGGAAAAGTTTATAGGAATCAGCTGAAATTCACTATTATTTTTCTACAATGGCGTCAGTGGAGCTCTAATAATAATAATCTGCTTTGTGTTGGAAGCAAATTTGAATGAAATCGCTGCTGCTGTTGTGACATTTTCTCAGTTTCTCTTTGTTAGTGTTTGTGTTCTGCAGGTTATTGTGTTGCTGGTGAACCGAGGAATAAACATGAGGAAAACGTGGTTTACATTAAATGTTCATGAGCAAAAATACAACTTCTATGTACAAGTTTCTATGTGGGAAAATGGTTTCAATTCCCGTTGAAAGAATCCGTCTGTTCTGTTAAAAGTTAATCTGATAACATTAAAATTTGAAGGATAATTTATCTCAATAAACTGTTTGGAACTTGCAGTAGTTTCTGTTTTTTTTTTTTTTTACTCCACAGACAGATTAGATCATCCAGACATTATTCTGCTGAAGTTTGGTTGATTAAAGTTTTTTAGGGCTTAATAATTATATAACCAACAACCACAAACCACCATCATCCCACAGCATCTGATGGGCAAACTGGAACAGCTGGGCTTCAATACACCCCTCTGCCATTGGCTGCTAGACTTCCTCACCAACAGACCTCAGTCAGTCCGGGTCGGACAGAACGCCTCTGATGTCATCGGTCTAAGCCCCTCCCCTCAGGGCTGCGTCCTGAGCCCCCTGCCGTTCACCCTGATGACACTCGACTGCGTCCCCAGGTTCACCACCGATCACACGGTGAAGTTTGCAGACGACACCACGGTGGTGGGCCTCATCAGAGACGACAACGACCTGGACTACAGAGAGGAGGTGGAGCAGCTGGTGGAGCAGAGATAACAGCCTGATCCTGAAGGTGGAGAAGACCAAGGAGATCATGGTGGACTTCAGGAAGAAGCGGCCTAACCACGCTCCACTGCTCATCAACAGCTCAGCTGTAGAGGTGGTCAGCAGCACCACATTCATCACAGACACCCTCACCTGGACTGGAAACACCACCTCACTGGTCCAAAGGGCCCAGAAGCACTTGGACTTCCTGCCCCCCCCATCCTCCCCACCTTCTCCAGAAGCTCCATAGAGAGCGTTCTGAGCAGCTGTCTCACTGTGTGGTGTGGAGGCTGCAGCGCCTCAGACTGGAAGAAGGTGAGAACAGCAGAGAGGATCATGGGGGCTCCTCTTCCCTCCATTAAAGGCACACTGTGCAACATTTTTCAGTTAATTAATGTGTTCCATAACGTTTTGGATGATTAAATGAGTCATTTCAGGTCAAAGGTTTTCTCGGCTGCCCTGGTGGTCTGTAGGGGATTCAATCGAATGATTTGGCTTCGTGGATTTTAACCTGAGAGCAAACATCTGGAAGAGGTCAAAGGTAGAAATGTGGGAAAGCCATTCCAGAAGTTCAATGCTGCAGCTAAAAAACAGACAAACAGAACTTAGTTCCGTTAAGCTCCTCCAGGACTTAATTCTAGTGTTTGATCCGATGATCATGCTGTTGGCAACTGGTAAGAAAATACTTTAAAAATACTTTCCCAGCTTGTTTAAATAAAGAAGAAAATAAATAAAATCCCAGAGTGTTGTTAACCCCCTGGGTGTTGAAGGCCTCCAACAGGACTAGATTTATGGCTTTCAGTTCATGTTTGGCTGAGGTGGGGGTGTTGGAGGTGATGGGTGGGGTTGAGTTATCCTGATTGGACAGATTTATCTGTAGCGTTGAGCTGGAAGCAGATTTTATTGTGGAGGGCTTGTGGGGGTGCAGTTGGAGCGGAGATGCTTCTGTTGGAATTTCACCAGTGGCTGCTGGCCAATAGAGGGCACTAGGGTGCTCCCCCATCCACCCAGTGACCTTAAGAGATAAAAAAAAAAACAAAAAAAAAAAAAAAAAAACAAAGATAATAGAATTTAGATATTTTGAAAATACAGTAATACATTTTTTTTCGA